TTCGCTATACGGGTACGTGCCGCCAAACAGGGCATGGTTTTCAGCGATTGTACTCTGGAACAGGGTATATAAAATCGCGCTCGCTCTGGAACAGGGTATATGAAATCACGCTCTCTCCTCTCTGGAACAGGGTTTTCAACGATCTTGCTCTGGAACAGGGTATGAATTTCAGCGATTTTTACTCTGGAACAGGGTCAGGGTTCAGAGGGCTCAACGGCACATCCATACCCTAAACGAGCAAGAGTTACCCCCCCTCCCTCCCTCCCCGGGATTTCGCGACATTTCAAGGATTTCCTTGTAATTCCATCATTTATAAGGCGCTTTATTTTCTTTGACTCTTATTTTTCGGAAAACCTATCGCCAGTAAAGTAATTTTGTCTGACTTTCTAATGCGAAATTGACGAGAAGATTCTACTTTCACGGCTCACAGTCTAGAACTCCCTCATTTACTTGATCATCCTTAAAATGATTGATTTTAAAAAAAATCTATTTTGACTACACATTTTTCCACCGTCAATTAATCTACTTTGTCCAGGATCCCGGAAATTCTGTCCGATTAGTTCTGTCATATTATTTCTACAATGGATTGCTTTGGATTGATTTTCACTACACCTAAGCCAATGAAAAATACTTTTCGAAGCTGTTTCCAATCATCTTGATGTTTTTGTACTAATTGAAGGCATATGGTATGTGTTGTTTGATTACGGCGTTCCTCGATAATCAATTTGACAATGGTATATACCTTATTCAGAGATTGTTTTCGGTCGGAGGTCTGTCATGGGCGATCTGAGGATATGTGCTAAAAAGGAATATTTGTGTTTTTATGTTTTTCTATACGAAAAATTACATTCCTATTATCATTATTATTATTATTATTATTATTATTATTATTATTATTACTTTTTATTCATTTATTCATTTTTTGTCATGCTTCTTATTCCAAGAAACTACGTTGCTCGACATTGAATATATTAAATTTTGCAGCGCGCTACTCCGCTAGTCTCAGATATAGAATTCAGATAATTTCCGAATGACAAGGGTTTTTATTTAAAATAGGTAGAAAATGYATTGACTTATTAATGATTAATTTATTTGTTTATACATCAATAGATATATTTCAATTGTAGTATATTTTATTCTAGTTAGTTTTTCTTTCTTTACTATATATATATATATCGTTGCTTACTTTATATGTAATGTAAGTCATAGAGAATTAATAAGCGAATCAACGAGCGAGATTTTGTCAAGATAATTAACCAATCACTGAGCATGAATTTTGGAAGAGAATCAGCGAATCAACGAGCGAGATTTTTTCCAGAGAATTAACCAATCAACTGAGCATATTTTTCTAGAGAGAATAAGCCAATCAGCGAACGAGAATTTTGCTTATAAAATTACGGCAAATCCAGCTTCTCACGAGAATTCCTGAGCCTTTTCGAGACTTCACATAGTAATTTCAAAATCGATTAAAGACAAAGAAGAAACGTTTTATAGATCCGCTAATCTTATTTTTGGGGTTCCTTTCCTGCTATTGTCCGAAGACCCTGGGGCGAGAGAAAAATTAATATCCGGAACAGGTGAACAAATTACCACGACTTAGTGGCGTCCTGAATTTCTCACTGACTGCTCACTAGGGGACCTTAGATCACTGTATTTGCATTCGAACTAAGCGAACAAAACGTACCAAAAGAGTCCCACAATTTCCATCCTCGTCCAGTCAAATAAAACTAGCGAAATGGCTCAAACAGACATCCATGCTTCTTGAAATTATCTTGGAATAATAAGGTGCTTTTTTCTAAGACAAACGTAGAACATTGGTGGATTTTAGAAGAAAATCCTGACAGATCGATATGCAAGAGTTGAGCTCAACCCGAGCTAGCCAGATAATATGTACGGGTGTAACCATAATGGTTCTTGGTGGTACGATCCTTGGTATAGGATATATACTTGGCTACGGAAAATACCATCTTACTTCGCTTTTCGGAGAAGGAGCAGCTTTTTGGGCTGGAATTCCGGTAAGAATAGCAAATAATTTAGATTTATTTTTTTTGAATTCGTATTGATAAAATGATCTTTAGATATAGAAATGAGTTATATAATAATTGTATACAAGTGCTCCATACTGTTCCTCAGTGCAGTGCTATAGAAACACGYATTTTTCGAATTGTACTCTGATCTTTTTTGAGATTACCATCAATCATTATTTATCAGATCAATGTTAAATCTATAGAATTTTGTAAAGAGAAAATTAAAAAAGGAAAAATTGCGATGATATCTTGAGATTAGTATTCCTCTTATTATCAATTATTATCTCTCAAAAGTGTTAAAGGTATAGAAATTTAAAGAGAAAAAATATAGAGTTGAAAAATGGATGGAAAATTGCGGATGAGATCTAGACAAAAAACATAAGATCTAGAATAAATACGACGAAGCATGAAATTTGAGAGATAAAAAGAGATTAGAAAATATGAAGGTTGATAAAAATGAAAAATAAAAGAGRAGTAAAAAAGAGAATGAAATGGAAATAGATATTAAAGAAACTTAAATCAAAAGGAAGAGAACTGAGGAACAGGTAAATATTTTTGAACAGTATTTCTGTAGCTATGAAACACAATAAAAGAAAAGAAAAAGAAAAAAAAAATTAATATTTTTCTTTCTTTCATGTTTTAAAATATTTGTATTTTAATTTTACGATGTATTATTTTATAAAGTGCTAAAAGCTAGTAATTACATTGAAAGGAAATGAGAGGTATTAGAGCTGTCACCTTGCAAAATTTTGTCTGTTATCATGGAATAGATCTTTGAGAGTTCGCGTTAATATGAGGATTAATTTCTCTTAATCATTTATTCGTTCCATAAATGATTGATTCATTTTGACGATGAAATTTGTTCTTTCTTTCTTCTTTCTTTCTTTCTT